ACCTTCGCAGAAAACACGCATCAATTACCCATTAAAGCGGGGTATAATGGAGCGCACCACGTACCAGTCCGTGTTCCCAAGCCGCCCGGTTCCATCGTCGGGTGCGTCTTCCAGCTCTTGCGGACTCGCTTCACCGCGGCGCGGCCGTTCGTCGTTGCCACAGTCGGTGCCCGCGGCGCTGCGTTCGTCGACGTCGCGCATCGGGGTCGAATCATAGGATATGGCACCCATGTCAGCTGTCCGTTCCAGGATTTCGAGCTCTAGAGACGTTAGGTCCGAAAGGTCCATAGCGCGACCGTGGGATGCGACGAACGACGAATGCTGAGCACAAAGTCCGGGCAACTTTGGTCCGGGCCCCTTGACGACGGTCCGCGCGTGTCGCGTGTTGGAAAGATTCCTCCGCGGGTCGGCGGTCGGTGACGCGCAGTGACACTGGAATCCTTCGATTGCCATTGGCTGATGCGTAAAGAGATGCCCCTCCCGTTTTCCGGGGTCATCTCAGAAAGGGGGGCGTGCCGGGGACTTTGATAGCAATTTTAATAGGGAAATCCGCCGCGCATGACTGTAATTTTACGATTTTTAGGATCCTTAGGACCCATAGATTGAGTTACCGCCATATATAGACCATCGCAGAACGCTCCGGAGGGCCCCTTTAATTACTGTAAATTAAGAACAATAAAAGTCCCATAACAAACCCCTGTTGTACCTCAAGACAACAGGAGTAGTAGAATAATCATGTCTGTTAGCAGTAACATCTTGCGATCGGTTAAATAAAAACATTTAATCCAAGCCAAAATGTTACTCTCAGATAACTCAATCAATAAGAAGCAAGTCGCGTAAAAAAAATAAATGCCTCACCGAAATTAAAAAAAAATGGAAGTAAAAGTTAGCCCAGCATTAATAGCACAAAACAGGTAATTAGTAAATGATTTGAGTTGTGTTTCACGGGAAAAAATACTTTTCTAAACCCTTGCTGAGAATTTCTGAAAAATGAAATAGATTCAAGAAAAGCAATAAGGTAAGAAGAGACGACATGTTCAAAAAGTTTAAAAGGGTACGCTGTTCAAAGATATAGGAATATAGTTAAATAGGGAGCGAGTTTTACCTGATTTCTGCAAAGGAACTACCTTTTCTACCTTCCAATAACTTGGTACAGTTCAATATTGTAAGGACTGTGAAACATTTGCGGAAAAAATTGGAGATGAGTATGTCAGTGTGCTTTTCAAAAACTTTGAATTGATACCGGTCAATTCTTGCACAGAAAGAAAGGTTTAAATTTTGGATTAAGCATTCAACGTCAACAGAATTCATAAAGACAGGAAACATCGGCAAAATAAGCGTTTCAAATATTTGGATAACAAGCAGGCTCGCTATAAGAGACGAACAAAACAGAAATATTATTGAGAACACTGCAGCAATCATTGCCTCCTACTGCAACGACGTTTGCATCACACAATTCTAGCGTACTCGACCCTTGCCGCTGATTTTCTTTGAGAAGAAAAAATAGGATACGCAGATAAAGAGCTCTTCCTCTGATTGTGCGACAGTCTGTTTGTATTCATCATCGACAGTATCGTAAACGCACCAACGATCAGCACCTTTCGATATCTTCGTGCTGCGGAAGTAATAACATTTTATTATTGCTTGTAAGTGCGTAGAGCGAACATTGAACCAGGGGGTCGCGAGATAGAGACAACGCGCAGTATAGGAATATACTTATCACTTAAGGCAGTTAGTTATCGTTTGTTTAAACAAAGTGCAGTTTTCTTCAACCGTTCGCGAATGGAAACTTGTTATGTAGTCAGAAATAAGCATTTGTAATTTACTGTATATAGAAACAAAATCAGCATTTTTGGAATCGCCAATAATTTGGGATGATTAACTAGAAGAACAGGTGTCTGCGAATTGCACTGTATAGTACAATGATTACTCAAACCTTGTAAGTACATTAGGGAAGACACAAGTTAGGGCCTTTGCAGAATGAGCTGTACATTGTGTGGGTTGGAGTAAAAACTAAAATATAAACAGTAGTTTATGCACGGAAATTCTTTTGATCATTTTTGATATAAATTTCGGGAGACTTTGTCCTAATTAATTATGGCAAAATTGAAATCAGCAACGAGAAGCAAAGGACAAACGGGAAACCGCGCAGTCAGCCTATTTAGGATATCGTAAAGATCGGAACAAGAAGAATCAGATGTTGGACGATAGCAGGCGCAACAAATGAAATCCCGGTACCCGACACACATACACGAGCGCGCACTAACTCTAACGATGTGTTAAGCACGGTAACGCTAGATATAACTTAATCACGCACAGGAAGTATCAACGTTCCCCCACGATGAGCAATCCGTGATTGAATCGATAACATTTGTAAGCCCCTTCGCATTTATATATTTGATCACTTTGCGATCTACGCGATGACAAGGCATCGCGCTGATTGCAGACACTCCGCGCATTAGAATCGAAGATATAAATAGCGTGGTGGAAAGGGAGTGCGATGGCCTGATCGGCTGGTTCTTTCCGAAGGCCATTCCTTCTCAGAGCGCTCCCTAGCACTCCGTCTCTGGCCGTCAGAGTCCGGAGAGGCGCAGGCGTCACATGCAGACTTGGGAAGTAATCCGTTACTTTTTCAAGTGATTTTGTGATCGCCAAGTTAGTTTTTTCGGAAATAATTTGTAATGTAATTTTGTTACAAAATATTAGTAACGAATTACTTTAATTACTCGTTACTTTTTTAAATATGAGCATAATACAGTAACTGGAGCAATATGAACAAAACATTCAAAGCATAAAGAAAGCAAGTTCAACAACATAAAAAACACCACGAAGGAAAGAATAGCTGAAAAGAAAATACACTTTTTTGTATGACCGGTCTTCAGAACCACTAGAAAAACGGACAAGGCATGTACAAATATACGAAAGACAAAGATCAAGTAAGACAACGCCGAGTAGGCTCTCCGTCGCCTTCCATCGTATTTTTCTTCTTCCCCCGGGCAGGGGAAAGCTCTTCCTGTCTTTTTGTTTTTACACTCCAAGAAAAAAGGGAGCGTGACTTTCTCCCTCAAGGGAGAAAATACGCTGACAAAATCATTGCTCCCCTAGGGGAGAAACGGTAACGGGAGCAACCTTTGCTCCCCTATCGTTAATCCCTCAAAGTTGAACCCCCAGGGCTAACTTTTGCACCCTTGCATTTAGGCCACTGAGACTAAATGTTGCGCTCTTAACTCATTTATTACTAAATTGCGCCCTTACACATCTAGGTGGCGCTAGTCAACGTCAAATTCAAAATTGGTAAAAAATATGTTATCGCTGGGATAGATCGTTTCCACGCTCATTACATTCACATATGAAAAACGCTTATTTCACATTTGCACACGTATTATACATTTTAGCATAGACAAGGAATTAGAACACAGATGACACACACACAACACACACCCGATCACCCACTAATTCATTTTCTTTTATTGTCACACTCTAATTAAATCGCTACCCATGCGCCTTTTATACTGATCATATGAAAGGAGTCGTATGGTCAGTGACCATCTCAATCGTGAGCGATGTTACAAATACGGTGCGGTTTTCGCACCAATATTGTTCTCCAATATTGTTGCTAAACTTTCCAGAGATTGTATCTCTTACTAAAAAGTAACGGTACACACAGTAATTATTTCTGACAGTCTATAAAACAGCGTGTCCATAGGCTCCCAGCAGCCATGTTCTTGCTTCCCCGCATAGACTGCCCCACTTTGCGCGTGCGCGTCTCCGTGGCAATCGCATCGGCTCTTGTGAAAAAAAACAACAAAAACACAGGTTGTAAAGAATACAAAAAGAAAACAGAATGAATCTCTGGAAACGTTTTTAAAACGTTCTATGCGGCTATCCTAGTTAAACCAAAAAGAAAATATAAACGCTTTCAAAGCACGTTTTGAAGCATGCAAAGGAAAAGGACGCCAGGACAACAGTCAAAAGCCGCATGGCCAGCGCATCAACAATGGCGGCGCTCGAGTCAGCGCTAGCTTCCACGACGTGCTGGAACAGAGGCTACGATCGTGATAAAGTTAGCTGAAACCCTTAAACATGGCCCCTCCTGCAATTTTTCATGCAATGATTGTCTGTGGATAGCCCCCCCCCCCCCCCCCCCCCCCCCCCAGCGTTCCGAAACAGTTAGTACGTCGTTAACGCTGGCCATCGGCGATGCAGCAGACGCCGCCGTCATGTCCGTGCATCTTTTGCTTCCGCGCTCTTGCTCCCGCGCCCCTCTCGCTGCTTTTGCTCCCTCGGCTGATTTTTCTCCTGCGCGCCTTTCGGTTAGTCCCGGTCGAGTGCAGTTAGTCCTCAGCATTTGCGCACGGTACCTAGCTCGAACCAGATGGTCTCTTCGGGGAGCAAATTCAGGGGATCAAATGGTGCCGTTAGTCCCTTGAGACCATCTTTTTTCTTAGAGTGTATCTTTTACACCGTTTCACCCTTTCAATCTTCTTCGACGTCTCCCGCCACCTGCACAGACATCCAACGCGGGTCCGCACCCCCTCGATTCGCGGGTTCACAACTCGCGTAACAGACGATGTAGCTGTTGTGTTCACCTAGTTTCGATTTCCACTTCATCTTCTTCACAGTGTTGTAAATAGTTCGATGCTATCATCATACTTCTCTTCTTCATCTTTCTTTGCTTCTATTGGCTCGATCTAATAAAAGGACAGTCTATCAGAACGCTCGGACCAGACTGGTTGCTCACTTCACAGTGTCCCCGTAGCCCGGGACACAACATACATTTCCGGCGACGAAGAGTTCCTGGACCCGATTGTCTTCACCGGCAAGACATCGGCTGCGCCCTTGGTTTCGTCGGCTGGTTCTCGGCGAATTATTCTGTTCGTCCAGCCGCGTCCTTCGGTCATCCCCAGCCACATTCAAGATGGCTGTGCATAGAACGGCCTCCCTCGCAAGCAGAAGGTCATCATCCCATGATGGCGACGTCCGGCGGCAGACTTCCACCAGAGTTCTTGGAAAAACCGGGTACTCCACCCATTCTATGGAAACGTTGGATACGCATTTTTGAGCGATATCTGCTGGCCACTGGCGCTCGAGATTACGACGCCGAACGTCGGCAGGCCATGCGGCTTAACTGTCTCGGCGAAGCAGGCCAACAGATATTCGACTCATTACCAACGCCCGAGAGTGCTGTTGCAACGGCGCCAGCAACGTCGGCAGCAGCAAGCGGCGAACAAACTCGCCGTCCACCGGCGAGAGACATCTACAAAGAGACGGTGCAACTCCTGGAAGCAGAGTTCACTCAACCCGTCGACGTGACTCTGCAACAGCTGCAATTTCACCTTCGTAAGCAACAAGAGGGTGAGTCCCTCAAGGACTTTCTGTCGGCGCTGCGAGCCTTAGCGATTCCGGCAAGTTTTGGGGACCAAGCGCAAGCACAGGTCAGGAAACAGTTCATGATCGGCGTCGCGTCGTCTGAAATGCAAGAGCGAATGGTTCTAGATGCCGCTCTTCCATTCGACGTGGTCCTTCAGACGCTTCTCAACATTGAGCGTGCACGACGTGAAGTTCGGAAATGGACAACGGCATCGACGCCTTCACCGAACTCTTATCGACTTGCAACGTTTCCACCGGAAGTGCAGGCTTCGAAGCAGGATCGTCGACAGAAAGGAGCTTGAGACGGAATCATACACCACCACCGTCTTCAAGAAACTCATCACCTCGAGAGTCTTCCCGTTCGTATACAGTTCTCGCTCTCCCGCAAGGAGTGAACGTGCTGAGAGCCGAAGATCGATATCTCGAAGCACGCGCGACGCACGCGCGCCAGCTATTTCGCCCTGTGCCACCTGTGGCGGTACCGGCCGAAAACAATCGTCTGGAGGTGGACCACGACGGTCTGGACAGCCAGGTCGTAGGTCGGTCCAATTCACGTCTTCGCCTAGCTCGTGGCAAGACCACCCCCCAAGGCGTAACGATCAGAGAATTTATGGACGAACGTGTGCGAACTGCGGACACGGGCTGGAACGTTGCCTGAGTTACGACACGTGCCCAGCCCGGAATCGTTACTGTTACAAGTGTGGTCGTCGTGGTCACTTCGGCGGTGTCTGCAGAAGCACGCCCCCGGGCTATTCACAACGGCCGCGGCGCAAAAAAGTCGAACAGATTCTGTCGGATGACGACGACGACGATGACGAAGACTCAACGCTCGTGAATCACATCACGGGAATGTGCAAACCACGAATCTTCATTACGGTAAAAGTCTTTAAGACGTCACTACCGTTCTTGCTTGATACGGGATCGTCTGTTTCGATAATGGACAAGTCCACATTTATACAGCAGTTCGCAAGCGACGCCAAATTCGTGCCACCCCCTGTCACGTTGCTGAATTTTTTCCGCGAGCCCATCAACGTGTTGGGAGCTTTCACGGCCACAGTTACGTTCAAAACGAGACAGGCACAAGTGCTGTTTTATATTGCGGACAACGGTACGTCGCTACTTGGAATGGACGCTGCGGTAGCACTGGACATTCAAATGAGTGGAGCAGCCAGAACATGCTTCTATACCGACGCTGACGAGCCTGATAAAGCGTCGCGACTGTCAGACCCTCCTTTGGTATCTGAGAAGGCTACTGACAACACGGAAGGTCGACAACCAACACCTTCCCCATCTACAACTGATGTAACCTGCCAGCCCGACGACATGTCTGCGGCGCTGCAAGAAGAGTGGGCGGCGCGTGCCATGCCACAAAAACAAGCGGCAGTGATTCTGCCTACCGCACCCGCATCGGCAACGCAAAGTCCAACACTTCCAGCGTGTTTCGCACGTTTTAATCACCTCTTCACCCCTGGCTTGGGTCGAGTGAAAGGAATCCAATGCAAGGTAAAGATTCGAGCGTCGGTTCCACCGGTTCAACATCGCATGAAGCGAATCCATCAAGCGGCTCGGCAAGCCGTCTCGGAAGAAGTTAAACGCCTAGAACAAGAAGGCGTGATTGAGCGCATTAATGCCTCAGAATGGGTCTCGCCCATTGTGGTAGTGCAGAAGAAAGACGGCACCATTCGGATGTGCGTTGATCTTCGTAGCGCAAACAAAGCGGTTGTAATTGATAGTTACCCGCTTCCTCACATCGAAGAGCTGTTGAACGCTCTACACGGTGCCCATCACTTCTCAAAATTAGACCTCGCGGCTGCTTACCATCAAGTGCCGTTGCACCCAGACAGCCGTGACATAACAGCATTCATCACACACGAAGGGCTGTTCCGCTACAAAAAAGTGTGTTTTGGACTAGCCTCTGCTCCGGCAACGTTCCAGCAGATGATGTCCAAAATCCTGCATGGCTGTCAAGGCGTACTGTTCTACCTTGACGACGTTGTCGTCTTTGGCAAGACTCAACAAGAACATCTGGAACGTATGCAGGAGGTCCTTCAACGTATTTCTGACGCAGGGCTAAAGCTTAACAACAAGTGTGTCTTCGGCGCCCCAGAACTCTCTTTTCTGGGACATAAAATCAGCGGCGCCGGAATTGCTCCTTTGCAACAAAAAGTGGATGCTCTTCAAGCTGCTCCGATCCCAACAGACCTGACGCAGCTAAGGTCCTTCCTGGGCATGGTCGAGTATTACGCACGATTCGTTCCCCACCTTGCGTCTGAGGTGGAACATTTACGCAAGTACCTCCGGAAGGGCACGCCCATTATTTGGGACCAAGCCGCAGACAAGAGCTTCGCTCGAGTGAAGAGGTTGCTTTCGTCTTCAAAAAACACTCAGGATGTTCAATCCAGGCCTACCCATCATTGTGACTACCGATGCTTCGGCGTACGGGCTTGGAGCCGTGCTTCAGCAACTCCACGGCACGGAAGTCCAGAAGGTCGCCTTCGCTTCACGTACGCTGACCCCGGCAGAGCGCAAGTACTCGGCGGGAGAAAGAGAAGCCCTTGCATGCTTGTGAGCGTGTGAAAGATGGCACACGTACCTGCGCGGTCGTCACTTCAAGTTGCGGACAGACCATCAGGCACTCGTTGCACTGTTAAACACCCGAGGAAATGGCCTTCGCCCACTCAGAATTACGCGGTGGTCGACCCGTCTCGTGAAATACAACTTCCAAGTCGAGTACCAGCGGGGCAGTGCAAATCGGGTTCCAGACGCGCTTTCCAGGCTTCCGGTACCAGATGACGAAGGCGGAACACAATTCGACGAAGAGATTGTGTCATTTGTCTCCCTGGACAGTGAATGCGTAACAAAAGCGCAGTTACAAGAGGAAACTGCGGCGGACCCGCTCCTTTCTGCAGTAATGACCTACATCATCTCTGAGTGGCCACCCTGGAGGGCGTTGTCTGCAGATGAGGTCATCCTCCATGATCAGAGAGACACACTCTCGGTGGATAACGGCCTTCTGTTAAGGGGTAAGCAGTTTGTCATCCCAACAAGCATGCGAGCGACGCTGATCGCTAGGGCACACGAAGGTCATGCTGGCATTGTCAGGACGACAACTCGCCTTCGCGAACTTTACTGGTGTCCCCGCATGAACGCGGAGGTGAAGCAGGCAGTTCACGCCTGTGACATCTACAAGACAGCCGACAAGTCCGCGAAGACGGCAACCACGCCTCTGCAACCGGTGCCTCTGCCGGATCGCCCGTGGTCAAAGGTCGGCATCGATATAGTAGGCCCTTTTGAGAGAGCGCCGCCGGCATACCGCTACGTAATCACGTTGGTGGATTACTTCTCTAAATGGCCGGAAGTTCAGTTCTGCGCTGACATCACCAAAAAAACGGTGACTAATTTTCTACATCTGGTGTTTACGCGCGACGGCTATCCCGACAGTCTCGTCTGCGACAATGGGCTCTAGTTCGTTTCTGAGGAATTCAAAACTTTCCTGGCTCATCGGGGAATCAAACACAAGCTTGTCTCTAACTACCATCCACAAGCCAACGGGCAGGTGGAATGATTCAACAGAACCCTCAAGTCCTACATACAGTGCGCAGCACTCGAGAACCGCGCACTGCACGCTGCAGTCCTGGACTACCTTTTCGTCTACCGCTGTACGCCGCACGCCACCACCGGGTTGTCTCCTGCTCTTCTGCTCCACGGTCGCAAGCCAAGACACAGGCTGCACATTTTGGGTCTCTCCTACACAGAGTTCCTCAAGAACCCGTTTGAGGAGGTGCGGCGACTGCGTGACCGTGTAGAGCAGAGACAAGACCGCTGCAGGAGATATACCGATGGAAGACGGGCGGCTAGGACACCGCGTTTCGGAGTGGGAGACCTCGTCAGAGTGAATTAGCCTGGAAAAGTGCCTAAGGGAAGCCCGGCTTTCAGTTCTCCTACGCGTATAAAACAGCAGGTCGGAAGGTGGACCTACCGTCTGAAGGACGGCAAGGTATGGAATGCCTCCAAGCTAGCAACCGTTCCAGAGCCGGAGGTGACTGTGCCTAAAAGCCTCCTCCAAAACAAAACCAACGGCAAAGAAAGGGCGATGTACAGTCATCATGACTGGCAACCAACAGCTGTCGCTCCGACACCTCGGTTGAGACCAGGGTCAGCGGAACCAAATTCAACAGCAGCACCGCCCTAAGTACCAAAACTGCGACGGTCTCAGCGCAGCTGGCGACCACCAGAGCGATTCAGTAGAACTTATATATAACAGAACTGTCATAGTTTATCTCATGAAACCTGTATGTGTGAGGGGGTAAAAATGAGTACATGTAGTAAGTAGTATGTGTTAATGTCTATAGTCCTGGTCAGGAATAACTAAACGTGTAGAGTTGGAATGAATGTGCTGTAAATAAGTCCGAAAATGGGTCGTGTTACCTTGAGCGATGATTTCAAAATTGTTCTTTGTTTCAACGTAACGAACTTAGCATTGTACAGCTAAAAAAAAATTGCCAGTTGTATATATGTGTAATTGTTGTTGTTCACATGCCTTTGGTACTGTATAGTGATCCGGTTGAATTTGTAATTTCCTTGAAATGTTTTTCTCTTCTTGGTTCTCTCTATTAACTATATTCAATGTGTCATTCTTATTTTCCAAATTCAAGGGGAGGGGGGAGAACGTTGTGTTCACCTAGTTTCGATTTCCACTTCATCTTCTCCACAGTGTTGTAAATAGTTCGATGCTATCATCATCCTTCTCTTCTTCATCTTTCTTTTCTTCTATTGGCTCGATCTAATAAAAGAACAGTCTATCAGAACGCTCGGACCAGACTGGTTGCTCACTTCACAGTGTCCCCGTAACTCGGGACACAACAGTAACCTCGCGCGAGGGGGTCGAATTCTTTTAGTTTTTGATGTGCGCTACTTTATTCTAGAATGCTCTTGAGGCAGGGCTCCCGCCGCGAGGCTAACCTTCGAATTCAGAAACCTCACTCAAACTACACTCAAACTGAAGGGCCCCTCCACTTCCTCGAGTAAGGCGCGAGGGCCAGCGCTGGCCAATCGCGAGGACGGATCCGCCGTCGCGATTGGCCAGCGCCGGCCCTCGCGCCTTCCTCGAGGAAGTGGAGGGGCCCTTCAGTTTGAGTGTAGTTTGAGTGAGGTTTCTGAATTCGGCGGTAAGAGCATCGTCTTCGAGGGTATGAACGATACTCAGTTTACAGTCAACTATCAGCATAAAAGGGGGGGGGGGGGGTTAGGCCATTTAAGGACTCCTGAGAGAGAGAGAGAGCGAGAACGCGTAAAAGTGGTG